ATGGCATTGATTTCAGTAATGTAGTGTTCATTCTAACTGTTAACATTCGTAAAGACAATTTCCAACAAGCCAAAATTGATTCTAATGCATCCAATGGTATATAGTATAAGAAAAAGTGATAAACAGGGCATGTACATGAAATGTGGAAACTTGGTGGATTCTCAGCCAGCTTTGACAAGATGGCTTGCCACAGTGCTGTGTCATAGATGTCACTGATGCTGGGATTGGCAAGGAGGTGGTTCTGGAGTTGTTTGTTTGTGATGGTTTTGCCATAAGCCTCTCCACGGTGCTTAAGTTGTGTGGGAGCCTGGTGGATGTGTGGCTTAGAGAAGGAGAGGGTCACTCCCAGGCGTGTAGAAAACAATGCTGCCGTGTCAAACTCAATAAAAGTTTTTGGAATCTGACTTTGTTCTTATGTCAGGATTTCAGGATAAATACAACACAGAGAATAGGCCTTGGCCTTGCTTTAGAGGGCTTCACTAATAAGATCTACGAGGCATAGAACATAGTTAAATTCATCACATTTGTTCCTGTTATTTTCAACTGCAAATGTGTTGTCCCATCAAGCCAGATGACTACTCAGATTCTTCTCAGATAATTCAAATTCTCTGCTTGAGAAAGTTGTGATCACAACAAACAAGTACTTCAAGCCACCTGGATTGCTGTTAAGATTGGATCGTGAGTTAAAAGCTCTTGGATAGATTTCTTTCACCATTTTTTCCCGGTCTACACAACTTAAGTCACATGTAAGTTCATTGGCTACCTCATTGTCAATGCCACTTTGGTTCAGTGCGCCAGATAATACTAAGATATATGTGAAACATCAACTACTCATGCAACTTAAGGAAGGTTAGTATGACACATGTCTTGGAGCTACACATAGTGGCCTCCCATGCCTCACTTCCATCATCAATAGTACGTGATGAGTGAGAACGAACGAGATGCCTTTAAAAGAATTAAAGAATAGACAGATTTACATAACATATAATATGTATAAGATGAGCATCTCTAGCAAATTTCTCCAGTTGTACCTTGAAGCATTGTTCAAAAAAAATGCAAAGAGTAAGACAAGCATCCAGATGACCATTGTGTTTGTGGTGCCATATAACAAGAGGATCTACCTCCGGAACTAAGTGACTTGTGCAACCTTTCTGAGCCACCCAACTTCGACAACACTTGGGCCATAACAATCCTCTTCTAATGTTTTCTGATCAGACAAGTTGCATCAAAGAACTTCTTAATTTCATGATTGGAGTTTAGACTATGACCCTTTACAGGAGTAGTGACAACAGAAGTAAGTGAAGTTTTTTTTTTTCTAGATTCTTGAGAGTCCAGAGCTGGTTGCCAGAATCTGGTAATTGAACTTATAGATGTATACTCTTTCTCTTGGTTTTGAAGGTATTCTTAATCAACTTAGTTGCAAAGACTAATGAAGAGCTCATTGAATTGCTAAAATACTTACTGGTGGTGGGGAGAATGCAAAGAGAGACTCTCCCATTCTTTTTTGACAAATTGTCAACTACCAAACTTAGAAAAGGATAATCCCAGGATCTTTGCCAATAATATCTTCCCCTCTTTGACACGGCTAGAGTGGATGCAAGTGCTGAAGCTGCATTTTGCACCTGCAAAGTTTCTGTGCAGTGACGAACATCATAAGTCATTGTTCTATTATTTTATTTTTTTAAAATGTGTTGTTCTAACCCAAAGTATGTATGATTGCATTTTTTCATATTGAAAACATTCTTTACTTTTTTCCATCGGAGCTGGGATCCCTGCTAGTACAATTTATGAGCGCTAAAGGCACGATGGTGAAGACGAATAAAGAACCGAGGAGCTCATTCGCTGTTTAAGAATAGAAAGACTCAACTCTGTTTGAATGTCCATGCTAGCGCTTTTGATGGATTCTGATCACAAGAACGAAACTGAATGCTTACAGACTGCGTTCAGCTGACAAAAATATCGCAACGTTTGAAATCCTCATGCTGGTGTTGGGGATATACACGTTTACAAGTGGAACAAAGTTAAACACCTCACATCGGAAAATGGCCGGTAATGAGCCTATAAGTCAATCACGAGACGGTAAACCAGGGATTCAACTTAGGAAAACTAGGAAATGTTTTTATGGCTAGAATCCAGTTGGCCAGAATCTTTACCGTTAGATCAAAGGTAGCATAGTTACATTCTAACCAAGACATTCTTCTCTGAAAAGAAGACAGTCCAGCAGTTTAAATAGCGCACGTTTTTCTGTCGGAGCAGCACTTTTATTCGCTACTCTAGTGGCAATAATAGAGGAAACAAAAGAAATAAATTGATTGCGGGAGACGTCAGTGCATCTTGTTCAGCATGCAAGCTCAATTAAATGTTTCTTGGAAGGCTCCATGAGACCTTGCAAACAGTTCATGAATGAATAAACGAAGTGTCATGGCCGCAGTGCTCTCCACAGTCCATGATAGCTCGATCCTTCAAGGCATATTATTGAAGGACTCCCATAGCTTATTGGCTGACCAATGCAGGGAGATTGACCATATGCATTGGCCTGGGATGAGGCATACTGTGTTTTATTTGATACTCAAGTCATCATCCACTTCTTGTTGCTCATGAAAACCTCATGACCACCGTCAGTGATGAGTGCATGAGTTCTAAAACTGGATAAACTAGAGACTCACCCAGATGCAAAGCTATGCATTCTTAAAAAAAGAATTTTAGCTGGTCATCAAATGGTTGGCGGTTGATGCACTCACTTTCAAACAGGGTGTCGCACACAACGCAACCACAATTACCACTAACAGTTCCTTAGTTAGGGTTCCGCATTTGGTATGGATTAGGGAAACTTTCAGTAGAAAGCTATGGCAGTCACAGCCGTCACGACTGATTTGCTGCGCTCGTGCATCAAGGCAAATTGACTGATTAAACTTCTCATCTTGAAATCTTTGTTTTTCAGGTAGAAGGAGGATCACCTGAAAAACTAGAGGAAAGAAAGAGGACAATGCCTTTGAGTACTGTGACATGCCTAATCTTCTCCTTCAAGTGTGAGTACAACTTAATCAGGATTTCTTTTTTTTAATCTAATCGTAATTCCTTTAGGTCAGCGATCAATCAATTGGTTGCATGGACTTGGGTCTTTAACCAAACTCTATCTCGATAACAACGACATTTCTAAAATTGAAAATCTTTCTCACCTGGCAACTTTGAAACTGCTGGGTAAGAAAACTTTTCTTTAGTCTACTACTAACTCTACTCCTGTGCGTTTCTCTATTAGATTTGTCCTTCAATAAAATAAAAAGCATAGGTGGTCTTGAGACTCTAACAAACCTGGAAGATTTGTCACTATATCACAACGAAATTGAGAAAATCACAGGCCTTGACACACTACAAAAGATCACGTCCTTTTCTCTTGGCAAAAACAGAATAAGGCGTCTGGAAGACGTGCGATAAGAAACACAAACTCATGTTTCTGCTACTCTGTTAAATCCGAAAGCACTTGCAGGTAATTCCGCTTCGCCGCTTAAGAAATCTCCACGTGCTGACTCTCGATGGAAATCCTCTTGCTACGGTTAGTGTGTCTTGATAAATTCATAGTTTCTGACACTTGTTCAGTTTTTTTATTTAGGATCCCGAATACAGGATCTATGTTATTTCCCACCTGAGAGATTTGACATATTTTGATCATAGATATGTAGACAGAGCTGCAGTAAATATTTCCCTTCCAGTGACTTGTCTTATATTAATCCAGCAGGTGGTAGCCGCTAGGGATCAATACCAAGATGACATGACAGATTTAAAACAAAAAGAAGCTGAGGAAGATCTTCTTATTAAGGCAGCTGAAGAGCATGCAACTCGACAAGCACTTTACAAAGTATACATCACATTAATACTAGGATCTCACTTCGAAAATGTGCAGGATGCTAACCTGCTAGGATGTGACACCCTCTTCGAGAGAATGATTTCGGAAGATGTAGAGTACCCCAAACTTAGCCAAGTTCCTGGTCTCCTAGCTTCTATGGACGAGTATTTCCGTCTGGTTTCTCCTCATGTCGATTTTGACGTCCTTAAGTCAGATATAAAGAAAAATATGTTACTGCGACTGAAGAGATTATTGGAACAATTTTAGCTGAATACAAGAAAAAGCATGTTGAAATAGAGTTCTGGCAGTTTACTACAAATGCTTTACTTGACGTCAGGGACAAAGAATCCCGAGAATACGCGAGAAGAATAACAAAAATTAAAAAAAAGGTCTGTGTTCTTCTAGTTTTACCTGATTCAAAATGCTTGCTTGCAGATTCTTGCAGAGGTTCGTTTGAACTCCAGCACAGCAGACAAAAAGCTGGCGCTTCTTAGAGAAGACAACGACCGGACTAGGGAGAAGTTGTTGGAGCTTGAAATGTTCACCTTTGGTGAAGTTCATTGTAAGTCCATGACGAAAATATTCCTATATTATTCTCCTTTTCTACGACCTATGGTCCGGTTTCGACAACACTTTCCTGCAATTGTTGACCAACAAGATTCAATTTCAAAACTAATATCCTTAATAACTCTTCTTTTTACCATGTCTGAACCTTAACAACTGGACCACCTTCGGAACCATAAGAATGTCAGAAAACAACTGCTCTGAAACAGTAATGGCGCAGGCTTCACTTCTTATGGAACAATTTTCACTAGGGGAACTTGAAGTCGACTCAGATGAAGGTCGCATGGTAACTGTTGTAATTTCGCTTTCTTTTTCTCATCCCATCTATTTCAGTTGCTCCGTGACAAAGATATGATACTCAATGCGATTCAAGCTTCTCACGATGCCAGAACACTGAAGATAGACTCACTAGTAACATCAGCTCCTCAATGTTTAACCTAGTTGTGCTTTAACAGGAAGACCAGAGATTGCGTGGGGAAGAGGAAATGCAAAAAGCAATGAACATAAGATTTAGACAAGAAGAAAATAAGAGAAATCGGGAAAGGATTGAAGAGATTGACTTTCTTCATCAGACTACAATTGATGAAATTACCGATCTTCTTGGAAACCTTGAAGTGGGGAATGTTTGGTATGTATTGATCATTCTTCTTCCTTTAAACTATTCCTGTGGCAGATTGGAGCACGGTGAAGCTATGGTATTTATAAAGGGTAGATCTAATGAGTTGAGCTTTAAAAACCCAGTTCCAGGTCTACATTTGAATTAATGTTTTAGATTTAAACACTAACCGTGTACAAGACAAGTAACAAACATGCTTGCTTTTTGTTGCCTTCCTCAAGCTTTTCTCACAGTCAATGCAAACACTGATGCGTTGATGTGTTTGGTAGGCTTTGTCCGCAGACACCAAATCCAAGTGATGATTGATATGGGAGCTACACACAGTGTGATATCTGAAGACTTGGTTAAGTTGTTAGGATTGAATGTTGAACAAATATTGCCCATACACTTTCAGTTTGCGGAAGGTGGGCAAGTAGCCAGAAAATTTGTGAGTGATGTTCCAATAAAAATATCCAAGTGGAAAGAAAAAGTGGACTTGGTAGTGTTGAAGATACTAGATTTTCAGATTGTGATGGTATGGATTTCTTCAACAAATATATTAAAGGGATTTATGGTGCTAGACAAATTCATATCACATTGAAGTTAGAAGGATGTCCCGATGTGTCCTTCAAGTTGCAAAAGCGCTCTTCAAAGGATTGGGATGTTAAGTTCCTGACTATAAGAGCTGCTCAAAAAGCAGCTAATAAGGGATGTCGGACCTTTTGGGTTCAAGTGATGGAAGTTGAGGGTGTTTGTGACTTAGTTCAAATTGGTGATGGGGTTGATTATGTACCAAAGTAGATATTGGAGTTGTTGGCAAGGAATCAGGATATCTTTTCGAAGGATTTGCCTAGGGCTACCTCCTAGCCGTGAGGTTGATCATCGTCATTCTGGGTTCTATACCACCTACAAAGGCTCCATATTGTCTGAATATCAAGGAAATGGCTGAACTCAAGAAGCAACTCACGGAGCTTCTTGACAAAGGTCATATCCCACTAAGAAAGTCACCTTATGGAGTTCCAGTCCTTTTTGTTATGAAAAAGGATGGAACCATGAGGATGTGTATCAATTATTGGGCACTCAACAAGATCACAGTCAAAAATAGTTATCCTTTACCTCACATAGATTACTTGTTTGACCAACTCTTAAAGACTAAGTATTTTATGCGGCTTGATTTGCGGTCTGGGTATCATCAGATATGGGTGGCAAATCAAGATGTGGAGAAGACAGCCTTTAAAACTTGGTATGGATCTTATGAGTTTCTTGTCATGCTATCTGGGTTATGTAATGCTTTGGCAACATTCAACACTATGATGGATAGAATATTCAGAGATTATTTGGACACATTTATTGTCCTCTATATCAATGATGTTCCAGTCTTTAGTGAAATGTTGGAGGATCATTTGAAACACTTGGAGCTGGTGTTTCAGAAATTGCATGAACACAAACTGTATGCTAAGGAAAGTAAATGTGCTTTTGGACAATTGCATATGAACTTTCTTGGACATATAGTTAGTGGTGGTGTAATTGAGGTGGATCCAAAGAAGGTGGAAGCGGTGAAGTCCTGGGAAGTTCCGACCACAATATCAAATGTTCATTCCTTTCTCGGTTTGGTGAGATACTATCACAAGTTTGTCCACAATTTTGCGAACTGTGGTTAAGATCTCCTTCAACCGTACAAAAGCACGTTGACAAGCTAGTGTCCAATGAAACAGTATACTACTCCATTAACTCAGTCAATAGAAGAGCAATTCTTTTGTTCTTAGGATCCCAGATTTTAATAAACCCTTCAAAGTGCATTGTGATGCATCTGGCTATGCTATTAGTGCCGTGTTATAGCAAGATTGTGATAAAGCAATTGGTGTTATGCTAAGGCGACATGGTTGTCCCATTGCATTCTATTCCAAGAAATTGGATGAAACCCAACAAAGATGACCAATGCACGAGAAAAAGATGTTTGCTATATTGTCGGTGTTGGAATATTAGAGACACTATTTGGGTGGACATACCAAGGTTTATACAGATAGTAACACACTGAGCTACTTTGCTACGCTGCCAAAGCTTATGCTGAAGCAGGTTCATTGGCAAGAGAAGCTTGCTAGATATGATATTGAAATCATATATAAACCTGGTAAAGATAATATTGTTCCGGATGCATTGAGTTGTCAAGCTCAGTTCCAGGCAATATCGGCAATCAGTTCGGACTAGTTAGAGGATGTTTGAGCTAAGTATGGAAGTGATCCATTGGCAAAGTCAATTTTGCACCATGTGGAGTTGTTGAAGCAAGACACTAGTAGTAAAATGGCGAAAGTTGCTAGTCAAACCAATGTGAAACTTCACTTCTCAGTTTGGGATAGGCTTATATTCTATAAGCAAGAAAGATTGTATCCTCCCTCTAAGGATCTGCAGCAGTTGTTTCTGCAGGAACATCATGATGTTCTAGCAGCGGGACATGGTAGATAATACAAGACTCTTGCTTCATTGAAAGAGGGATTTTTCTGGTCTGGTATGGAAGGTGATGTAACAGACTATATCCATTCCTACCCTATATGCCAGTAATGTAAGTGTAGAACTGAGAAGCAAGCTGGAAAGTTGCAGTGCATTTCAGGATCGGCATGGCCACTTTAAAGTGTGACACTTGATTTAGTCATTTGCTTACTATAGTCTAAGGGTTATGATACTTTGATGGTGGTTGTGGATCAGTTGTCGAAGATTACACACTTCATTCCAACTATGGAAACAGTGAATGCAAAACAAGTAGCAAAGCTCTTTTTCCATGAGGTAGTGCGGGTTTGTGGTCTTCCCAAAGAGATGATCTTGGATAGAGATTCGAGATTTACGGGAAAGTTTTGGGGCATACTATTCCAGTTTTTTAGTACCAAGTTGAAATTTAGTACAGCTTATCATCCTCAAACTGATGGGTAGACCAAATGTGTGAATGCTCAAGTTGAGGATTATCTACGGTACTATGTTGCAGCGGACCAACGTGACTGGGTTGAGCATTTGGATATAGCAAAAATCTGTTATAACAACACATTTCATAGTGCTATTAGCTGTTCTCCATAGGAGATGTTGCAAGGGAATGCTCATGGGGTGCCTCAACAGATTGTTGTTCCGACACCAATGTTTGAAGTGTTGGTTTTGGCCATTGAGACTTATGTGGAGAAACTACGCCAAAGTTGGTCTAGAGCTACTTAGGTGATGGGTAGAGCTTAGGATAGGTATCCACCGGATAAGGATCAGCATTGTCGGGATGTATCCTATCAAGTGGGAGATCAGGTGTGGCTATCTTCCCGAAACTTGAACATTAAGGGATCTTTGTCTTAGAAGTTATTACTAAGATATGTTGAACCCTATCGGGTGTTGAAACGATTTGGTGATGTATCATATCGGTTAATTGGGCATTTTGAGTGTACTTAGACTAGACAAGCATAAGGACAAAATTCTTATGTGCTATTAGTTAAGCATAATTAGCCCGGTAAGGAGTGTCTTGCACTAGCTAGTGACAAGAACCCTCGCGTATTGAGACTAATCCCTCAATATCGCTGGATGATAGCTTACCGTGTCTGCCAAACACCCTCACTATCATGCCCTTTGTATTAGTCTTATTTCGGTCCCAAATGCTAATTATGGAAAGTATCTAGATTTGCTCATTTGGAATATCTATAGACTGTAGAGATTGTCTTGAACATGAAAGGGACTGACACATGGCAAGTGTCGTGACACATGAACTGAGTCCAAGATGGAGTTTGACATGGAGTCTGATAGAGAGTCCAAGATGGAGTTTGACATGGAGTCTGATAGAGAGTCCAAGATGGAGAGTCTAAGAAGGAGTGTAAGACCAGGTTTAAGATCGGGACTAAGACTAAGATTAGGTCGAGACTAAGTTTGAGTCCGAGTCCAAGTGTGAAAGCCCAAAGTGATCATCTCCCAAATCCTAGGGGGGTTGGTGGGTCCTTGTGGAATAGTAAGGTGGAAGACTTTAGTGGAACTAATTTGGCCAGAAAAGGCTAGTGTGACCAAGGAAGGCTACATCCACGTGGTGGGTGATGATGTAACCATTGAGGAGTCTAAGGTTAGAGTGAATACAAATGAACAATTGGAGTAACTTAGTGAAATGTTCAAGAGTTGGCTCTAGCTCCCACGATAGATCAGATGGTCAATGCTCTCAATCCAAGTGTGGGTTGCATTACCTACTTAGATAACCTTGAATGACTCATTAAAACCTCACTCTAACCACATAGTTGGGGCACTCTAGTGGTGGAAGATGGGGGGAGTACCCACGAGGCTGGGTTGTGATGTTTCGAAATGTCATCCCAAAGTCCTAGATTATAGAAAAAAAGAGGAGTGGTCTTCTTACTTGGTGACCAAGGGTATGGTTACATAGTGAAGGAGCCCTAGAGGTTAGTAGGGCTTAGTAGATGGGCCTTTAGGCATTAAACCAGTGGTGGTATTAGCAAGCACTGGCATAGATGGAGCAGGACTTGGTGAGGATTGAAAAAGGGATATTGGGGGATGGTGTTCCTTAAGTGTTGAGGCATCCTAAAGATCCTAAGGTGTGGTTATGGAATAACCACTCATAGATGGATAGCCTAGTCTTGGAGAGATGAAACTGTATTGTAGGTGGTCTTGGACTACCAATGGGACAAGGGCAAATAGATATAGTCTTAGTATAATAGGTTGAGATGTTGGTGGTACCTTTACCTTCCTTAGCCACACTTGCCTTTTTTAGCCAAATTGGTTCCATTGGAGTCCTCCCCCTACTATGATTTTGGAGCTCACCAAACCCCCTAGGGTTTGGGAGACGATTACTTTGGGCTTTCACCCTTGGACTTGGACTCGGACTTGGTCTCAGAGTCAGTCTCGGTCTTGGTCTTGGTCTTGGTCTCGTTCTCAGTCTCGGTCTCGGTCTTGGTCTCGGTCTCGGTCTCGGTCTTAGTCTCTGTCTTGGTCTCAGTCCCCATTTCAAACTCCTTCTCAGACTCTATCTCGGATTCCTTCTCAGACTCCTTAGATTCCATCTTGGACTCCTTAAATTCCTTCTTGAACTCCATCTCAAACTTGTTGCGAATGTGACTTTCGGTATCAAAAGATACTTGTCAGCTAGTCCTTACTACCATGATGGTAGGAGGTCGGTACTGCTGATTCCCTTTAGAAGCCCCTCTTGTCCAAGTGTTAGCTTACTGGGCTTAGCATTTGTACTTAGCTAGATGAACATAAGGTAGGAACTTTTATGTGTTTCTAGCTAAGCATTCTCGGCCTAGCTCTTAGTTCTCTTTTGCTCTATTTTGCACTGGCTTGGCAAGAACCCTCGTGTGTTGAGACTA